AGTGAAAGCTTGGACTTAGTCCCAATAATTAAAGTAAATATACTTTCCTTCTGCAATTCTTATTGCCTTTTCAGCATTTGGATTGAGACCCCATTCTCTTGGTAACAAAATTTTGTTAATGTGACATTTACTAAAGTTTATAAAACTTTCAGGATTATTATTTTGGTAATGGTGAGTAATTGATACCGGTAACAGTCAGGAGAATCTCTAGGTTGGGCCTAGATTTTCCATGAAGACCTCGATTTCCTCTTGATTCGAGGTATCTAGTTTTGATAGACCAACCATCATTTGGATTTATCTTCATATCTTCATCATCAATATACATGATTTTTTCAGTTATTGGATTTTCAAAATAATCTATTTGTTCTTGAGGTGGGTTATTAACCACAACTTCCTTGTAGGATGTAGTTTTATTAGAGGAAGAGGAAGCAATATCTTCCTTTTTTGCTGAAGATGCATGTAATTGCTGCATTTTTCTACCTTTGTAGATAGTAGTCAAATCCCCTATTAGAGGAATGTTTGATTCTGACTGGGGTAACATATTGTTACTCTCTCTCCCACCCCGGCCATAACCGCGGCCTCTACCCCTATATGGGGTCATCATTTTTTCCCTGCAAAAATTCACGAGTTAAATAATCAGCAAGTGAATTATTTTCACCTTTAATGTGTTGAATATCAAATTCAAACATAGATAATTGCGATTGCCAACTAGCAAAAATATGCTTAGCAACAAGATTTTTAACATCTTTTTCAATAATTGGTTTAGCTGAGCTACAATCAATTTTTAATAAATTTTTTTTATTAAAAAGATCATCTTGAAATTTTGAAATGCATTTTATAATAGAAAGCATCTCTTTCTTGATAGTTGAATATTTTGCTTGTGTTGGATTCCATTTTCCAGAAGTAAATCTAACCAAAACTTCTTTTGATGTTTCAAGTATTATTTGTTTAAGGATTCCTCCATAGCCTAAGTCTGAAGCATCAGTTTCAACAATTTTGAAATATTTAGGATTAGCAAGAGATAAACAAGGCAAACATTTCACTTTATTTTTAATTCTTTGGACTGCCTGAGAATGTTTTTCCGTCCAAGGGCCAGGATTCTTTTTAAGCCTAGCATGTAATATTGTCGTATCTTTAGCAAGATTTTCAGAATAATCTGCTATGTAATTGAGGCTACCCAGAAACCTTTGTAATTGTTTCTTATCGATAATAATATCAGGGAATTTAGAAGCAAATTCAATACTTCTTTGTATAGGAATTATAGTTCCTTGGTCAATTTCATGTCCTAAAATTCTAACCCTTGTTTGAAAAAGTTTCATCTTAGGACTAGATATTACTAATCCATTATGCTTAATTAATCCTTTGAATATTTTCAAATGTTTAA